TAGTAATAATAATAATAGTAGTAAATAATAGTAACAGATAATGATGGTAGAAATACACGCCAGGCGTTATGGCCCTCTCTTGGTGCGAGCAGGAGAGCATAATCTTTCTGAGCACTTCCATCTTCTCCGTAGATGCCTCCTTCTGAAACAACCTGCTCGCGAAAGGGCTGTAGGCAAGTGCAAAATATGAGTCGAGAAATCAGCCGGGCAACTGCTTTCTCGGTCATCTCCTTCCATTGCTTCTTCTGCTCTACCTTCTTCTCCTGTCAGGAGGACGAATCTCCAACATCAAAGCAAAACAGCTAACACCACAAATCAAAGTTTCACGATCCCGCTGCCTTGTGCTGCTGCACCAGCTCCTCTCGCTTCTTCTCTTCTTCTGGTGATTTCTCCTTCAGTCAGATCATAGGCCAGAAGCTCCGTTCAAAGAAGCAACCCTGCAAAGTATGGCTCCTTTGGGCCCTTCTTGGCTTCCTCCAAGTTGAACTCAAGCTTTTTTCGGATCTCCTGCCTTGCGTTGCCATGCAGCTTAGATGAGACCGGAGACCATGGAGGGCAGCTTGGCCCAGGGCGTCGTGTAAAGCTTTAGACCTTCTGAAGAAGCCTTGACGGCTCCCTCCATGTCTTCCATCCCACGCAAACAAATGGCCTCAGAACATGTACTCTTTAATCACTCTGCATGCCATGCGAATGCTGCAGGATCTCTGGTTTTCCAACCTCGTTGCTCCACAAAACAGCAACATGGTGGCCACTGACATCCGCCTGGAGGATGTGCGTAACAGCATCTTGCAACATCACAGCTACGAGCATGGCAATGTTCTGCCTTTTTCCAGATCTCACGGGCATTTCTCCAGGCCTGGCATGTCAAACAGCTTGATCACTCCGGCTTGAGCACTATCTTAGCAGCAGCCTTGAGAGCATCATCATAGCGCTTCTCTTTCAGTGCCCGGTTACCAGTCTGCTTCAGTTTGACGGCTTCTTCTGCCTACAACTGCAAAACAAAAGGAACGAACTGTTTGCGTGCTGGACATTGTCTGGTGCATGCTTTTGCCTGCTCCAGGAGGAGATGGATGCTCTTTGCTGTTTCATCGAACTTTCCTCAGGCTCAGACTAATTCAGACTGCCAGAAAGCGTGCAAGTGCCATGGAAGATCTCTAGTTTTGTAGTACGTACTGCTGTAGGAATGAAAAGACGTCCCCGCGCAGTGCTTTGAAGAGAGCGTGAAAGTCGAGGAGCGACCGAAGTGCTCATTCGTTCGCCAAGGAGACCTTTCGTGCTGCCACGCTTCTTTCACGGCACCCCGGAGGCCACTCAGTCAAACCGCGATCAGACACCGTACTGCTGGAGTTTGTCTGCAAATCGCAATCCCTTCATCTACTTGCAGCACAACCCGCTGAACCTCGCAACTTCTCTTCGAAAGGCCTCTAGCGGCGTCATGCCTCGCAGCAAGTGAGCCGTTCCTCTGATCACATGCTTCCCGATGTCCAACCTTCAGAGCGCTGTGTGCCCTTCGACATGCCCTCGGTCTGCGTTGGGTCCACGCCATTGTGGAGCATCAAAGCCTTTTAGCAACGCTCCAGTCCGCATGTGTATCTGAATTGATGGAAGAGAGCTTAGGTCTTGGCAATCACCTGCCTTGGCTCCTCACCAGTTGGAGGCATGCCTTGCATGCTACCAGTGAAAAAATTGAATCGAAGTTGCGTTGTAACAGTGCTGAACCCTCTGAGCGCCGGCACGCAGATCTGAGTTGTGAGCGCTCGCGATCCATGCTGTTGCAACCTGAGTTTGCAACAGCTAGACGACCTTCAATTCTACACAACTGTCCTTCGAATCTAGGCAAGCAGCATGCAGCGCAGTTGCTCCATCGTGGTGTTTCCACTGCACCTCCGCATGAAGGTGGGGAACTGTCTGATGACTGCCATCCGTGAGTTGTGTCTGCAGCGCATACTTGTTGGACAACTCTTTCCCACAAGCTCAACACCTACAACAGGATCTGTCAAAGGCGCGTTGGCGTTTCGCTTCAGCAGCTCCAGGCACACCGGGGCATTTCCCGCCTCGCTGCTTGATGGGATGGATGGAACGACGGCAGCCAGGAGTCGATGCATTCGATGCCAACAGTACCGTTGCTCCAAAAAAAGTGCCAGCGCAGACAGGATACAGCAATGGCGGTGTTCAGCGGCGGTGTGTCCATCTTGGGCTCCTTGGCCTCACCCACATCATACTAGAAAGTAACCGTATCCGATGCATGTTCCCCCGACAAAGCCTGCTCTTGCGATTCTCAATGTTTCCAGCGAGATCATGAAATTGTCTAAGTCAAGCAATGCGATTCTCACAATGACTTCGCCTCCAGATCCGCCTTGAATTCTAAGAGAACCTTCACGACATCAACGGATCCATGCCAGCAGGCACTGTGGATGGCAGGTCCTTCCAGCACAACTCACAAAGGAAAGGCGCTTTCCTAAAAGCTCTCAAAACCAATCCAAACAGGAGCACGCATAGATTGAGGTCCTTCTGTCATGGGGTCCACCTGAGCACTGGCCAACACCGAGCTTTGCCAAAGTCACATGCTTGCATGACAAATGCTGTCAAGGTACGGCATTTGCACTCCCCTTACGTTCGAGGAGTAGCTGGAGAACGTCTGGCTGGGACTTGATTCCACGCGCCCTGCATGCTCCACAAGCATTTCATCAGGCCCCTGAGGCTTTGCGTGGCACACGTGTTTCACTTACCCTAGCAAGTTAGGGCGTGAGACCGGGGAGGCTTGGCGAACAGCCAGGTCTTCCCTGCCCACCCCAACTGTCAAAGTGCAGATCTGCAATAATCCTACTGCCTTACTATTCTGAGACCTCTCGCTGTACAACTCTTCGGCAGAGAGTTTGCATCACTGAGGCACAATGCTGCTTAAGAAGCCCACGCGATCAAGCTTCAAGGAGCTTGTTTATCCTCAATTCCATAATTCAAGCCATCCCTGGGCTAGGCAATAAGGCTTATACGGACAGATACGAACAGCCTTTCCTTCTACACGAGTATGCGCGCGAGCGACGAAGTCCTGCCTCATTCCAAAGGATGCGATAACCAAACCTCCGTGCAAGTCCGTTATCGTTTGCATCCGCTGCCGTTTGCAACAGAGATGCACAAAGATGCGAGGCTGATGGACTGAAGGCAAGCGGCCATCTGGAATGCTGCTTCCATACTTGACAAAGTTTCGGGCTTCGTCAATCGCATCCTGCCGTGAGCAAGGCTATCACATTCATAGGAAGCCGCCTACGCTTGTGCCTGTGCAGACTGCATGCCCCACTTGGGAGGCGGACTGCATGTGCTCAAGAATCCATTCTCACAGTTGCGTCTCCTCTCCCTTCTGCAGCTTGGCCACCAAGATATTGGCAGCCAGCTGCGCCTGCTGAACCTGACATCGACTCTGCATGACATTAAAAAAATCCCCGAGAGGATAAGGTGATGCCTCTCCCATCTTGAGGAAGTCACCTTCGACTGTATCTCCACAGGGAAGAGTCTAGGCTCTGACACAAGGTGTGGAATTGCGGCTATGCTACGACTATTTGGGTCTGCTGCTGCAGCCTTTCCGGTTTTCCTGCACAACAGTGTGTGCTTTGATTAATCTGGGTGTTGGTGCATCAATGATCATGGCGCAGTGGCTTGGACTATTGCACGCTGTGCTTGAGCCACACCATGCAGCGCCTCCCACAGCTTCGGTCGGCTTCAGGATTACAACTCCAAAAGGCATCGACATGATTGAGTTTCGGGTTTAGGGTTGAACCATCAAGGACTTGTTGAGGCTCCTGTATCCACCTCAAAGCCCGCGGTGTCATGCCTACAATCCACATTTGAGACTCGCATGATCCCGACCCAGCACTATTATGGACCTCATGTAAGGTATAGTCTTAACTCCTAGTATTCCC